CTTAGTTCATTACAAAATGCATCCTCAAGGATTACTAACAGAAAGATAGAATTTGCAAATTGGAGTTACACGTCGGGCTAGTCCTCAATGGACTAGTTCTCATCTACAACAATCCCAAATTGTTCCTTCTCGGTTCCGCCTTCCTCGGCAATTTCGGCCTCCGAGGCCTCAACTTACATCTCTACCAATTGACCATCCACAACAACCTTAAAATAGTCCATCTCGGCTACGTTGAGGTCATGCTAAAGACACAAATCTTGGGCTTTGGCCCTTTCGAAGGCTTCGTCGCCAGCTGCTAAGAGGCCAACCTGGGCATCCTTTAAAGAATGCTTCAGCTGCTCACTAGACTCTCGAAGTTGTTTGGTATTGAGGATTAACCCAACTACAGTTTCCTAAGCATCTTCCTTCTTCTTGGTCATATCAACCAACTAGCTACCTTATCGCCTCTTTTGTCTTCTGGTTTTGATCTTTAAGGTCACCTTTCAGCTTGGTCGCATCCTTGGATAAGTAAGCCTCGACTTTCTCAGACTCATCCACAACCTCGAACAAAGCCCGAATTATCACAACATATCGCATCAGATATGAGCTCACATTTGCGGTTAACTATTGAGCTCCAATTGACTTTGCATTGGTAACATCTTCAGTAGAGCTCAGATGTTCATAAAGGAACTTCATGCCATCAAAGCCATTTGACCAGAACTTGAACTCGTCAAAAGGTCGCGGGTGTTGGCTCCTATCACCGGTCTCTCTCATCATGGTGGAAATAGCCAGGCCAACTTTGCTCATGGGATCACCCATCAGAGTCCTCGTGTTTTTCGTGGGGTTTGGATGAGGGTGCTTGGAAGGAAACAATGTGACACCCTGAGGAACAAAGATCATTGGAGCATCCCTGTCCTCCTCCAGTTTTCTCTTCTTCAAAGCCTAAGTTTGAATACTGGACAAATCAGACTTGAAGGCGGATTGGTAAGCTCGATCGACCCTAGCTTCGACCATCTATTTCCTTTGCTCCTTAATATCATCAAACAACATTTTCACTACAAAAAGAGATAAGGTCAGAAAAAAATGTGGAGTAGCTTCATACAAAGTAGGGTTCATAATTCTTTACCCAAATATTCTAAAAGTTTTTCTTGATCATCAGACATGTTCATGATGTCTTTAACCTTCAACATTTTGAAGGAGTCTAGGATGGTCAACACTTGGACCTATTCCACTTTTAACTTGTCATAATCAAAAGTAAAAATAGGTAACAGGTTTTTCGTCCAATAAAACAGGAAGCGATAACTTTTATCCACTGCATACAAGACCCTAGGGCATCTATCTCCACTCTTGACTAAGAGAAATATGTCTTTGAAGCCTTTGTAGTTGAAAGTGAAAGCACAGAGGAAGCTCATACCGATAGACCTTTAATAGAAACCTAATTTTTCTTATCTGAACCTTTCAATTCTAAGAAAGAAAAGAAGAGACCCAGGGTTGGACCGATGTTCAACACCTCATAAACGACCTCAAAGGCCTTGATAAAACACCAATTGTTAGGGCGTAATTGAGTTAGGGATATGTTCAGGGCGATTAAGAGGTCCACTTCGAAATTAGAAAATGGGATGTGGATCTTGAAATTCTCAAGGACTCCGATGTAGAAATAAAAACACTTTCGCCCATACCTTTAGGGTGGAAAAGGCAAACTCTCTCACCATCCTCACAAGTCTTCAAAATAACATCCTTCTCGTTACTAGTGGACAAGAGGTTCCTGCTAGAGAGAAGTTTTCCAATATCGTTGTAATCAATCGTGCTACACTTGTAGCTTTAAACTTCTAAATCAACAAAGGATCCATCTGTCTCTATTAGAACTTCTACAGAACCTGATGATTCATATTGAGTCAGAATAGTTAAAGGACGCGTGAAGGTAACCATAAACTTTTCTATTGATTTGGTCAAATTTGGTTCGCCCCAAATGACCCTCATGGGATTTCATGCATTGCTCCCAAAGTTCCCTCCTTTCTTGGGCATTTTGGGGAACAAACGCATTCCCCGAATCATCACACTCACGTATAATCACCATTATTGAAAAATAAAGGGCAAAAGTAAAGAAGAGAATAAGCGTTTACCTAAGAAAAAGAGGAGCGAAGATGTAGGGATGAATAATTCTTAAGCTTCAAACAAGGCTTTTCCGATGTGAGAATATCAAAGGATGGTGAAGTTATAACCTTTAAATACAAAGACAGTGGAGAATGGCTAGAGTAGAGTAGAGTATTTAACCATAATATATTCCCCAAAAAAGTCATCATTATGCAGTGAGGTGAAGGGATGCGATGAGAAATGTGCCCATAATTGCTCTTGAAAAGTCACTGACACATGCTAAACTATTTTTGGTCGTTTGGATCACAACATGGTCGACCACTCAATTCTCCTCAAGAATTTTAAAGTCTTCGTGGTCACACTACTACAAATAACACTTGTAACATTGGTTACGAAATGCATTTTACCTCGGCAACCCAGGCGAGATTATTAAGGGCGACATGAAAAGATGCCACTTATAACCTCAGTTATTTAAAAACTGAGAAGGAAAAGTGGCACTTGTCACGGGTTCGATCCCTAGCAACTATATTTTTTGGATTTTCAAAACTGCGCAACTTTTTACCTCGATTTTTAATAATAATCGAGGGGTAAAGTCTTGTTTACAAAATTTTAATTTTAATTTGTTATTTTTTTTACGTTTTAATCTGCAAAGCACTTTTTTTTGGACAAAATCTATAACTTTTTCATCATCAACAACAACACCTATAACAAAAACAAAATCAATAGAATCCTTAAATATTAAATCTCACAACAAAAACAACAAGAATAACAAAATCCATGGAATATTTAAATATTACATCTCAACAACAACAACAAATAAACAAAATCAATATAATACTTAAACATTAAATCTCAACAACAGAAGTAACACAACAACAATAACAACAAAATCCATGGACCCATGACCAATATTACCTTGTAATTTAAAAAAATTCAAGAAATAAAGTAGTGTTTTTTATTTTTAACTTACGCATCTTCGAATTCCAACAACTATATTTATCACTTTTTTATTTTTAAAATTTTTAATAGGACTTCACATAAATACAACTACAACTTCACTAAATTAACTTCCAGAAAATTATTCAAACATGTTTTACATAAACAACCTAATTAAGCTAAAGTTATTTCACCCTTAAGTATTTTCTTATTTAACAAAAAATCTTAATTGATATTTTTTTACACTATTAAAATTGGAAAATTATTTACAAGTATCTCTTACTTTGAACCATTATAAAAATCAATTGTCCTCTAATACTTCAAGAGCTCTTTAGAATTGAATTCCAAAAGTAAAAATAAAATATATAATTAAAACTCTTTTATTTAGATGGGTGACACATTGTCACATACAAATTTTTTAAAGATACTTGGAAATAAAAGTATTATTAAAAATAGAAAATAAATGATATATTTACAATATAAAAAAGTTTTACATTATTATTTAATAAATAATATATATTCCGTCACATTATATTAATAATTCAAAATATTATTTGATGAATTAGTAATTTTTATTAGACGATTGTATTGTATAAAAAAAAATTATATTGAAAGTACATATCCATTAATCCTATTAAAAAAACTCATCAATATTTTATCGCCGCTAATGAATCAGAGAAATATTATATATTTAATATTAAGTAGTTTTCAAAAGAATGAAGATAATTCTATTATAATCAAACTTTTTAGGAATTTGATTTGTTCTAGTTTGTAACTTTGTAAGCTCGTATAAAGAACATATCAATATAGTTCATAATTATATTATTGAAAGTAAACATTATTAATTAGCAAGTCGACATTAAGTGATTAAACGCATAACACTTTATTTGGACAAATATAATACAAGAGTTGCATATTTGGATTTAAGAAAATTAATTTATAATTTAAATGGCTAGATCTTAATTCAACAATTACTCAGTAACTTCTTTAATTGCAAATCCTTGGTCCCAAATCTGGTTTGACCTAATTTTATTGTGATCCACTTGTCAGAATGCACATGAAAGATGTCCATGTCCACTCTATGACACATTGACACCACTATTTTTCACGTTGTTCGGTGCATTTGGCCTCATGCCAATGTCGCGTCGCATGCTACCTGCTTAGTCTGCTGTAATTTTTATTTTCAAAGAATGATGATTGTTGCGAACTTGCGATCAGAAAGGGGAGATAAGATAAGGCTGGTTTTGCTACGGTATGTCCTTATCAAAGTGTGTTCATTATTTAAATTTTTAACTATATATTGTTATTTCACCAATACCTTAATTTAAAGATAAATAATAATCAATTAGACCGATTCAGATTCAAACCTGATTGATTCAATCAGATTTGTTTTCACCTAATTTTTAAATCAATTTTTGATGAGTTGTGTTATGACTAGTTATTGGTTGTTTTGGATGATTTATTTAATTTATTAAGGTTATTTATTTTTAAGATTTTTTTTAATAACTATGTATTAAAATTTATTTTTTTTTTTGCAAAAAACCACGTTTCGGAAAAAATTACGCAAATAATCATGTTTCAGATGACTCTTCAAAGGAGGAGCCATCTCACTTGACGCATACTCCCATTATTTAAGAGCACCTCCAGTGGCCTGTTTTTTCTATTGATTCACTAGCTGTCCAACGGAGCGTGTATTTTTTCTTTCTATTAAAGTTCTCCAGCTGGCAAACGTACACATAGCAAGCAACGGTTAGTTTTTAATTTTTTATATTAAAAAATTAAAACTAACCGTTGGCTAGTTACTTTTTTTTTTATTTTTAATTTTTTTAACTTATTTTTTTTTTATAAATATAAGTTTCAAATTATTTTACCAACACAATATTTTTTTTACTTCTACTTTCTCTTAAATTTCAAATTCCTCTCTCACAATTTTATTATTTTACTCTTCAACTTTAAATTTTTTTTCCAACTATTTATTCTCATTAGGACAAATGGATCCTAATCAATTTCATTATCAACAAGCTATGTTCAATTTCATGCAAAATTATCAAAATCATAATCCTCAAAATTCTCAAATTCCATCGATGCCAACAAACCCCGCCATATTTTTTCCATCACCAAACAATCCAAATATGTATCATATACCTCAAATGAATTCTAATAGTATGGAATTTTCTACCCAAGTTCCACCATTTTCTACCCAAGTTCCACCATTTTCTACTCAAGTTGGTACTCAAGTCGTTAAAAAAAAATCTCGAGAGCAATTTACAAGGGATGAGGATATACTTCTTATCCAATCATGGCTCAATGTTTTAAAGGATCCAATTGTGGGAGTTGATCAAAAGGCTGGGAGTTTTTGGTTAAGAATAGCTGCCAATTATAACCAGTATCGTGGGCAATCGCGGGAAAAGTTAGGGGGGCAATTAAAATGCCGATGGCATAGAATAAATGGTTTGGTTCAAAAATTTGTTGGGTGTTACAAACAAGCTGTTAATGGAAAGAAAAGTGGGACATCAGATAACGATATCATGGCCTCTGCACATGCTTTTTTTGCTCAGGATGAAGGTACAACATTCAATCTTGAGTACGCATGGCGATTGTTAAAAGATGAACCTAAATGGATGGGAGAATCGATTGGAAATTCTTCAAAAGTAACAAAGATTTCTGCTAGTGGGGCATCATCGGCTAACTCAGATACACCTTCAAGTTACGAGTTTAACTCATCATCACCAATGGAGCGTCCAATGGGACAAAAAGCAGCAAAAAGGAAGGGTAAGGCAAAGGAAATTCCAAATGCAACACAAGATGCAAGGAATAAAAGAGCAGCAGCAATGGAAAGACTAGCTCAAAGTAAGGAGGACGAGCTAGAATTAAAGGCAATGCAAATCATCATGAAAGACACTTCTACTATGAGTGATAGTCAACAAGATATTCATGAAAAATATTGTAATAAGATGAAAAAAAAATATGGATTGTAGTTAGTATCACTTATGTAAAATGGTCATTAGTACCACTTTAATTTATCAACACCTATGTAAAATGATCATTAGTACCACTTTAAATTATCAACACCTATGTAAAATGGTCATTAGCACCACTTTAAATTATAATAAATATTATGTTATTCAAACTAGCCGTTATTCAAACTAGCCGTTATTCAAACTAGTCGTTATCCAAACTATCCTTTATTCAAACTAGCCGTTATTCAAACTAGCCGTTATTCAAACTATCCTTTATTCAAACTAGCCGTTATTCAAACTAGCCGTTATTCAAACTAGCCATTATTCAAACTAGCCGTTATTCAAACCATTATATATACTATCACTTATGTCATTGTTTTCCCATTCTCATCTTATTCTTCTATCATACTTCTCTAATTCTTCTCTCATTTTTCTATCACTCTTAATTCACTAAAATGGATTCAGACAATTCAGATGATTTCGACCAAGAATTTTGGGAGTTGATTGAAGAAGAATTTATCGACGATAGTGATGAAGAACAATTGCTTGAAAATGAACGTCAATCTGGAAGTTCATCTATGCCAAAGAGAAGAACAATGGTAGATCGTAGTCGTGAAGAAGGGCACAATCGATTATTCAATGACTACTTCTCGGAAAACCCAGTATACACAGATGTTCAATTCCGAAGAAGGTTTAGAATGCATAGGCATGTATTTCTTCGAATTGTAGATGCCCTTGGAAATCATGATGAATATTTCCAAATGAGGGTTGATGCAACTGGTAAAATGGGTCTTTCACCATTGCAGAAATGTACATCTGCTATTCGTATGTTGGCGTATGGGTCTCCTGCTGACGTTGTAGACGAATATGTTCGAATAGGTGAAAGCACTTCAATTGAGTGCTTACAAAGATTCGTTCGGGGCGTGAATGCTGTATTTGGGGCTGAGTATTTGAGAAAGTCTAACAACACTGATGTTGAACATCTTTTACAAATGGGAGAGTCACGTGGCTTTCCAGGTATGTTGGGTTCCATTGATTGTATGCATTGGGAGTGGAAAAATTGTCCTGTTGCATGGAAAGGACAATTTTGTCGAGGTGATCATGGAAAGCCCACAATCATGCTTGAAGCAGTGGCATCACAGGACTTATGGATTTGGCATGCTTTTTTTGGTATTGCTGGTTCAAACAATGACATTAATGTGTTAAACCAATCCAACGTGTTTAACGATATTTTGGAAGGACATGCTCCCAATGTGCAATATACAATCAATGGAACACCATATAATATGGGGTATTATTTAGCCGATGGTATATATCCTGAGTGGGCTACATTTGTGAAGACCATTTCAATGCCACAAGGAGAGAAGAAAAAATTATTTGCTCAACATTAAGAATCAGCTAGAAAAGATGTGGAGAGGGCATTTGGAGTGCTTCAATCTCGATTTGCAATTATACGTGGTCCAGCGCGTGCCTGGCACATGGACACCCTCAAACATACCATATATGCGTGCATCATATTGCATAACATGATTGTTGAAGATGAACGACATACATATGGAGGTAATTTTGATTACTCTTATGATAATGTGGATAACAATCACTCAACAACTGAAACATTTAGCGGTCCTCATCCGAATCTTGCAACAAGACTACAAAGAAGAGCAAATATTCGTGAAAAACAAGTTCCTCGTCAACTTCAAGGAGATCTAGTCGAGTATATTTGGGAACGTTTTGGACATGAAGATGATGAAATTTAAGTTTGATTAATTTATGTGATGTTATTTATTTTTATTGTTTTTAATTATATGTAATGTATTTGAAATTAATTTTAATTATCATTTTAAATTATAAGTTTAATTTGAATTTTATTTATTTTATATAAATTTTAATTTAAATAATTAAAATTATTATTTTAAATGATATAGAATTTAATATGAATAAAATATTAATATATAAAGTAAAGTTGTGGGACCCATTATGAGTTCTTTAGAGTTGCACCATTGGAGTGAAAAATTAGTTGGGTTACTTCAAGCTGACGTGGCTTAATGGGTCCCGCAAAGAACCCAAAATTGAGTTGCACCATTGGAGATGCTCTAAGGGGAGGCGCCATCTCACTTGGCGCCTAGGTGCTTAGGGCATGCCCTAAGCCAAGTGAGATGGCGTCTTAGTGCAATTCTAGGGAAAATTTCGTTTTTTTTTCCAGTCCAGTGCGTTGCGTATTCGATACAGGATCAACAAAATTGATTTTTTATTTTAAAAAAAATGATTACACCCAAATGTATTACATTAAAAAAACAGATAAAAAAACAGATAAATCAGTGATCCCCCGGAACCCGGTAATGACCCCCGGTTCCGCATCCCCATCCTCGCCTTTCCCGTGCTGGGTGTCGTCGCGTTTCCTACTGTGGCAGGGTCGATGGCCCAACGAAGTCAATGCGTTCCGGATCCATGAAATCAGTCAGATTTCCATATCTAGAAGATCCGCTTTGGTACAGTCGGTTACCCATACCCTCAAAGTTTGGTCGTGTTGGCGGTGGATGGGGTTCCATAGTGGATCTGTAGCATTGATCGTCTGAGTACGGAGGGTAGAAAGGAAATGGATCTTGGGGTGTTTGATATTGAGGATGTTGGGTGGTTTGGTGATACTGTGGTTGATGGTAAGTTGGGTCGGTTGGTTCGTAATCTTCCGACATTCCCAGATCAGGGCTAAGGCTGGATGTTGAGGGGCCCATATTGGGATATACAGAAGACTGAAATTGTGTGTGGGGTATGCGGGTGTGTTGGTATTGTGATTGGTATTGCGGTTGGGTATGAGGCATATGGGGGTATTGGTACTGAGGTGGCGATTGTGGTTGGTTGTGGGGCATTTGGGTGTAATTGTGTTGTGGTGGGGACTGTGGTTAGGTGTTTGTAGTTCTGTTTTGTCTGGGGGGTTAGTGGGAGGTTGATGTGTGTTGGGTTTGTTGTTGGGGAAACGAGGGTTGTGCCCATTGTGTTCGTGGGTCAACCAAATACCTTGGATGAGACACGTGTATTTCAGGGTTACTAACCGACCTGTACCAAGATAAATACTGATCCGTGTGTCGCATATTACCATGATTGAGGAAAATCGGGAATTGCAAGACATGTCGGTGACGCCTCTGCCACATCTTACATCATTCTGGAGCAAAGTCTTTCCAGTTGGTAAGACCCCACTGGGTGTCGACCCTTTTGAGATGCCACGGGGACAAACAAGTCGGATCACTTGGTATCTCTTGATGCATTCCGAACTGCATCTTCACACGGTCGTTGTGGTGCATCTCCACAACATTGAACCGTATGATTGCAGTCTTGGCGCTCCAAATTACTGCATCCTCGGGGTTTGGTTCGTGGCCCAAACCCAAATATAGTCTCCAGATAAACTGCGAAAAAAATTAAATCAGGTTAATGAAAACGTAATATATAAATAATTTAAATGAAGAAAAGTTGAAAGGTACGACGTACATCATCTGGGCCTAGGTGATCAAACAGATTGCGGTATAATGCGACATTGAATCTTGGATTCTTGTCGTAATCCATATCCCTCACGCAATATCTAAAGGAAATGAAAAACATTTTATTTTTAGCATATATTTGGTGAAGAGATGAATAGTAATAAATGATATAACTTGATGACTTACTTTGTTGCGTACGGGAAAACGAAAGTGTTGTTATTGACGGGGTTTAAGGACTCCATCCTCCACCAACCCCAGGCTTGTAGTAAAAAAGCGCAGCCATAAAATGTATATTTTTCCTTGACTGCATTTTTGCACAAGGAACTGTATAGGTGGGCTAAAACTGCTGAACCCCAACTATACTTTCTTGTTTTTTCAAAATCTCTAAGTAAATGTAAATACATAAAATTTACACTATTTCCCGTTCTTTCGGGAAATAAAAGGGTTCCAAATAGTATCATTTGATAAGTTCTGGCTTTTACTACCCTATCTTGCTCGGAGGAATTTTCGTTTAATTCCAAACTTGCATAATGACTTTTAAGCTCAGTGAGTAGTATACCCTGACCTCTCGCACCACCACCTTCAACCATATCCCTGCCCAACAATTCTTCACACTGAGAATTGGGTTGTTGAACCGACCTATTAACGGCCTTACCGTCGATAGGGAGACCCAGTAACATGTACACATCCTCTAGTGTGACGGTACATTCACCTATTGGTAGGTGAAATGTATGGGTCTCTGGTCTCCACCTTTCCAACATTGCAAGAATGAACTTCGAATCAATTGTGCAGTTGGAGATCTTTATAACATGTCTGAAACCTGCGTATTCTAGATATGGTACGATAAATGGGTCGGGAGTCAGGTAGTTGTGAGACCAGATCCTGAATCTTTTGGTATCCTGTGTTAATAATGTAAAATGTGTAAGATTAAGTAAGATGAACAAAGCATTACCTGAAGTATAAAAAATATATAACCAAAATAGAAACTTACAAATGCGACAATGTTGTCCCTTGTGCCTCTGTGAGAATCGCCCATTGTGAGAAAAGCCATTGTTGAAAATGCCTGAGATTATGAAAGACTTAGAAAGTGTAAGAGATTACGAAAGACTTTGTAGCAGAGAGTGAGACGATTGTGGGTGTGAGAGAAGTATGTTATGCTCTGTATTTATAGGCAAAAAAATTTCATAGAGTAAGTGAGGTGGTAGCTGGTGCATGCATGCATGATAAGTGTCACTCTTGCAGAGTAGGCGCAGCTAGGTGGCAACCTTGGGGGGTACATCTCTGCATGCATGTAACACGATTGGACATTAACGGAGGCGCCATTGGACTTGGCGAAAGAGTACAAAAATGAAAGGTGTCGCCATTCCCATTGGCGAATAAGAGGTGTGATGGGTTGCAGAGTAGGCGCAGGCTAGGTGACATCCTTGGGGATGCCATGCCTGAATGCATGTAACACTATTGGAGGTCATGGGAGGAGACTTACAAGTTACAGTGTAGGTGCAGAGTAGGCGCAGCTAGGTCGTAGCCTTGGGGGTTACATCTCTG